CAACCCTGACAGGGAGAGAGAAAAACCTTTCCTGAAACCTTCCTGTGTTTTGAGGCCATGAAACACATTTGGTGCTTCACCTCTTAATCTCATTTAGCCTGATCCTCATAAGAACGTGCTTGAAGTAGCATTATGTCCTTTCTGCAGAGAAAAAAATTAAAGTGCAAAAATTAAGATAACCAAGCCACACAAGTACGAAATAGTAGATCAAGGTTTGAACTGATTTCAACCCAACAAAAAATGGCATTTGCCTCAATCTCCCCCTAAAATGTATCCAGCCCAGAAAAAGCAAGCCTGAGAGGTGAACGTAGATCCTTCTTCATCCATATAATCTTCCAGAGGACAACAAAATTTAAAACAATATCATCACAGCAGTAGCCAAAGAACTCTAAAATGTCACAGAATAATAAAACTAGTAAAATATCAGCCAGGAGATTAAACAGTAAAAGTTGAAATCAACTTTCAAGGCATCAAGTTTCAACCAGGAAACCTTGATCATTTCCCTATAACTTTCTAAAATCCATTAATAATACATTATTATTTTCTTGAGAATTGAGAAATCTTTACCAGTTGATAGCCCAATTCTTTAGAGTAGAAAATATAAAAAAACAAACTACACAAATAACACATAAAGATCTAAATCTTTACTTTTGTAGCACAAAAGTCATTTTTGAATTAAACTGTAAAATACCAGTACCTTAAAACATCAGACTGTATAGCAAATGACAGAAAATCTATCTGACCTCATTACTGTACAATTGAATAAAAAGCAGCCCAAAGACCTTCTCTGTCCAAAAGTAGAAAGGAAAAATCTGGTGCAGAAAGATTAAAGAAGTAGGAGGAATATACTTTTTTTTGAGACAGAGTCTCACTTTGTTGCCTTTAGTAGAGTGCCATGGCGTCATAGCTCATAGCAACCTCCAACTCTTGTGTTTAACTGATTCTCTTGATTCAGCCTCCCAAGGAGCTGGGACTACAGGCTCCCGCCATAACACCCAGCTATTATTTACTGCAGGTGCCACTGATGTTTTAGCTGGCCGGGGCTGGGTTCAAACCCACCACCCTCAGTACACAGGGCCAGTGCCCTACCTCTCAAGCCATAGGCACCAAGGGGGAATACACTTTTTAAGGTTTCTAGATCACCAATAACTACATATGTCTTAAAAATAGCTTTGTAGTGAGGACTGCACAGAAGTGATAACAAAATCCATCGCTAGAATAAAAAAGACAGACATAGGACAATATGCTAGACTGAGCCTCACGATAGCTGCCTTCCTCGATCTATTTCTATACTCTGTACAAGAACTTTATAGAAAATACAAAAATACTCATGTAGGTGCAAGATCATTCTTGGAGTATACAATAAAGTTCTGATGTTCTTTTTAGGAAGATTCGACTTATTAAAAGGATCAGTGAAATAATCTGGCTATGATCAATGTTTATGAAAACATAGGTTAGATTTTGTTGGCACACTTTTCAGATGGAATGCTCTCTGCATATACCTCTATTCATTTCTAATTCAAAATATTTGTTGTTACTCCAAAATTAATGACATAGGAATTCCTTCTCTTTTGGAAACATTCTACATGTAAGTCTTCAATTCTTTGCTTCACCATAACTCATTCGAACCTTAAAATGTCAAATCACAGTCCTTACTTTCCATGTGAATAAAACTTCTGCCCACAGATGAACACAGGAATCTTTCCCTTATTCTAAAATTTACCATATTTACATCAATGCTACAAATAATAATGTTCAAATTAAGATTATTATCTTGCTACTTCATGTAAAACTGCACATTCATCTTGTAGCATTCTAGTTGCAACTAGTATTTCACATAACTTAAGAAAAAATTTTCCCATAAGACCACCTAAAGGACAAAAATTAAACGTGAACCATACCAGCAGAAACTTGTATAAGCATTATATCCCTACAGTTGTATCAAGGACATAAACACTGTGTGGCTAGAATATACAAAGACAATGCTGCCACCTAAAGGCCAAGATGTAATATGAACAGATGTGTACTTTTAGTCAAATAACTGCAAATGTATTAAAAACCAATCAACTTCAGTCAGCAAAGTTTATACTTGAAAAAAAAATGCTATCATTTTTTATATAATAAAGCTCTAATATTATTTTTAATAATATTCAATTTATTAAGAGAATCAATGAACTAATTTGGCTAATGATAAATATCTGTTTCTAATTTTAAATGTTTGTTGTTAAATGACTAATAAAGCTTCTCCAAGTAAAAATAAACTACCTAAAATTGAGCTTTGTAAGTGATTTAAATATTTCTCCTTATTTCACAAATTTTAGGAATACAAAGTTCCTATGGGAGGTTAGTTATTAGTAGTTCAATTATCCAATAAAGAGTTCAAATTATTTTAAATTTTCCTTTCTAAGAACCTTAAATGGGAAGAATTGTATTGAACTAACCTTTAAGACTTAGTGAAATTACTTCTAATTTCCAATGAAATAAAAAGATTTAATAAATAAAACTAAGTGCAGAAATGATTCCTTTAGTATTTAAGTACATGAAAGCTTTTCTATATACCCCCAAATTAGGGACAAGGTACCGTGAGCATAACAAGAAACTTCAAAACAGAAACAGTGGCTTTTCTTTGGGAAACTATTGGCTAAATAAAATGTTTTTGATGCACCAATAAAAATGTTTCTCTGTTTACTCAACAAGACAACAAATATTATTCAACAAATATCCATACTCCTTAAAAAATAGAAAAATTTTAAGTCGAGATCACCATCCTTTATTTTGAATGTAAAGGAGAAACCAACAGTTAGACAACAAATACAGCTGTGATACCGTAAGAACAAATATATTTTTCTTGTTTCCTATGGATCCGAGTTTGTAAGAGGCAATTAAAGGGCATTATGGTTTTTAATTCTCAAAATCACACCCTGAAAAAAGATAAATATCAATAAGCCCATTTACAAGTGAGGTTTAAAGTAACCTTCCTGGGGTTACAAGGCAAGTGAGTAGTACCAGGATTCAAAAATTTAGTCTGTGACCCAGAAGATCTAATTCTCCCTAAAAGATCATACTGCCTCAAAAGTGATTATTATACATATACTAAATGTAAAGAGAAATGTAACACATTTTTAATATGTAATTTCAAGGAAAAGTGTTCTAGTGAAAAGTGTTTATTCCTAACTTAGGGTGTTTTCATTTTTTTAACTAGATCATTTTTTAAAACACCATCATCTTACTAGAAGTACTGATGCTTCAAGAGACCTTTTAAAGCTTAAAGGTCATGATGGGATATATTTATCAAATTGTATAACCCTCAAAGACAACAAAAAGAGCTCTTGTGTTCTTTGTAAATATGCTGTATACGTTCAGGACCACCCTGCCAACCCTTTCAAGTACAGTCGTGCATCACTTAATGAGGGGATGTGTTGTGAGAGACACGCTGTTAGGAAGTGTTGTCATACAAACCCCAGAGTGCACTTCAACAGACCTAGATGATAAAGCCCACTGGACCCCTGGGGTATGTATGGCATAGTCTATTCCTCCTAGGCTACAGCCCTGAACAGCATGTTACCATACTGAATACTGTAGGCAACTGTAACACAATGGTATTTGTGTACCTAAACATAGAAAATATAAAAATACAGCATTATAATCTTATGGAACTACCATTACATATGCGGTCCATCACTCAAAACATCATTACATAGCACATGACTGTACACTATTTTTCAATGCTGGGATCTCCTACTAAGGCTTCCCTAGTGACAATTCTTTGTGTAATAGAAAGAGTTGTATGACATCTTTCTTGTATGATACATCAAGTTAAAATTAAATGCCTTTGGAATATTATTTACCCATAATAAGAAATAAATTTCTGATATATGTTAACATAGGTGAACCTTTAGAAACACCACGCCCCATGAAAGCAGCCAGACATAGAAGACCACATATGTGTGATCCCATTTACATGAAGAATCTAGTAGAGGTGAATTCAGGGACACAGAAAAGGAGATCAGCAGGAACCAAGGGTTGCAAAAATGGGGAGCGATAGCTAAGGGCATTTCTTTTAGGGGTAACGAGAACGTTCTAATTAGATCTTAGTGATGTCTGCACAACTTCATGAAAACCAAGGAATTATACACTTTAAAAGGGTGAATTTTATAATATGTGAATTAAATTTCAAGAAAAAATTGTGTGGTTTTAAATATAACACATTAACTGTGTCTGAGTTACATAAATATGTGCTTAGAATATAAAATCTATGTAATTACTGAGATTATCTGCCCTAATTTGTTGAGTCTTATTTTTGACTTTACCAAATAAAAAGCTCTATTTCACAAGTGTACATTTTCAAAGACATTAAGTATAATGATTTAGAAATATTATAAACCCTAGGGGTACCAGAAGGAACTCCGACTACAGACTTATACCAGCATTAGTTCACTGTCATAATTTAGAAAAGATACATTGCACATGCTGGTGAAGACTATTTTTTTTTTTTTTGAGACCGAGTCTCACTCCATTGCCTAGGCTAGAGTGCCATGGCATCAGCCTACCTCACAGCAACTTAAAACTCCTGGGTTCTAGCAATCCTTCTGCCTCAGCCTCCTGAGCAGCTGGAACTACAGGTGCCTACCACGATGCCTAGCTAATTTTCTTTTCCTATTTTTAGAGCGGGGGTCTCACTCTTGTTCAGGGTGGACTCTAACCCCTGAGTTCAAGGGATTCTCCGGCCTCAGTCCCGCAGAGCACCAGGATTACAGGCGTGAGCCACCATGCCCAGCCCTTGAAGAATTTTTAACATGCGAGTGGTACCTATAAGCACCTATTCAGTTATAGGATCAATTTATAAAATTGTTATCTTGAAAGGATTTTAGCTTTTGATTAAATATTACTTGCCTCTGAACCACAAAAAGAAAATATACAGACGAAACTTTATAAACAAACTAAGAAATTCAAAGGTTAGAAACAAAATGAACAGTACGAGGACGGTTACAAGTACTTACTAATTTGTTTTCCTGCATGTATATCCTTTGTAATTTCAGACAGCCCTTAGCTATGACGATCATGCCTTCATCTGAGATCTTGTAACACTGGCCGAAATGAATATCTTTGAGTTCTCTGCATTTTGAGCCCAGCTGCAAACAAAAAAATCTGGCTAAATGCTCAGAAAATCAAAAAGGCAACATATTTCTAGTGAGGTTTTCATATAGTAATACCGAGGTTATATAGTTATTTAAGATACGCTTTTAAAACGAGATAGAATGTAAGCAATCTAAAACTTAAAACAGTACTGTGTAAACCTTTTCATCTTCTAATCTACCTCCTTTTTCAACTACCTTACTATACCCATCAAGGTGCCTACATCCCTCGATGGTTCAAATTCAAATCTTTATTTCTCTTGAGTTTTAACAATGAAAAAAAAAACAAAGAAAACATCCTCAAGGCAAAAATTATCATAAATATATTCATAAAATTAAATATTAGATAGCCATTGAAATAGAAGAAATATTTGGCAAAATAAAAATGTATTTATGTTTTCATAGCATAATCCAATTTTATAAAGAGGTAAAGCATACTTAAATGTATATAATGTATTTGGGTATAGGAAAGAGACTGATACATGGGTCACCATCAAAGTTTCAAGATACACAAAAATCAAGAAAAGTAAAATCCGTGCAGACAGAAACAAACGAAGCCCTCCCAGCAACACCAATAAGGTGAGGACGCTGAACTTGCACAGGTGAATCAGAGAGGATGCTGTCCACTGAGTTTCTTGGAAGTGAAATAATGGACCACAACACAAACTGTCTCAAAACTTTTGTAGTGACTCACATATATATACTAAAGTGTTAACAGTGGTTTAATTCTGATTAACAAATGGGTGGATTTTTATTCCCTCTCACCTATCAATCTTCTCTAATTTTTAAAGTAAATATTACTTTCTTAATTAAAAAATTAACTTCCAAATTGTTTCAAGTAATTATATTAGAAACATACGTGAGTTCAATTATTTTTCCATGGATACTGATATAATACAAACCTTGTTATTCTAATCTAGGGGTACACTATAACCAAGGATACATTCTCTAGAGGTGTAAACTCTATGTAATAAAGACAGAGGTTCCTCTGTTTTGTTGAATCATGTTATCTCCAGTGCCCAGTGTCTTTTAGTTGATAATAAATGTCTATTAAATGAATGTAAAGGCTGACCCAGAAGAGTTACACTTGCTAAAGAGGCCCTTCAAAACAGACAAAGACAGGGAACCATGATTGTGGCCTCATGTACCATTATGTTCTAGTTATTTCAGGATAAGCTGGGTGTATGGGTATACGGGTAGAATTGGGTAGAATTTCCAAACTGGGTATATGGTAGAATTCAGTGGATAAGAAGAAAAAAGTACATATTCATTTTCATGCTATCTTCTATCTGTATTTTAGCCTTTCCTTCACTTAATATAAGCAAACACCACAGCAGTTCAGCAGCACCTGTGATTTTGTAAACAAAGAATCAAAGATAATTTCACATATCACTGTTCTTGCAGATATCTAGAAATATTACGTTTCTTCAGCAGTATTTGTCATGCTCATTACATTAGCTAATGGATCTTAGATCACAAAAAGAGGCATGTCTATTTCCAAAACAAATGTGCAACAGCATCTGACTTGGACCTGAGACAGCTGAATCCAAAGCCAACAAACAATGAGAAAACCAAAGAAGCAATTAGACTCCATAGGGCTAGAAGTGAAAGTCAAGTTGGAGCTAAAAATACCAGGATTCTTGAAAGTTTGGTAAAAAAGTAGTTAAACCCTCAGATTCCCACCCCATTACTGCACAGCCTGACCTTGTCCCCTCTCTCGCAATGGCAAAAAAATGGAGTTCTCTGATAGAGTAAAACAGGGTTTTGGATTGAGATATACCATCCAGAGCAAAGAACATAAGGACACTGACATAAATGTAGGGATTATCCGAAAGTTTCTATAGTGAAAATGGAGACTTCTAGGAAATAATTCTATTAAGTTTTCTAGAATGAAAGGATATGAACGTCCAGAAAGGGCTTATCCACAAATCCAGCATAAATGATTAAAATGGTCACACTGTAATCATAGTAAAATGCTGGAATTTCAAATGTTGGTTTATAGAAGATTCTACAGCCTTTCAAAGAGAAATAAGATTTCATGAAAAGAATCAGAATTTTAAAATGCAGCAAACTTCTTACAACACTAAAAGAAAGCAACAGTGCAATGCTATCAAATTCTAAAGTAAAATTATTTCGAAGCCAGAATTTTGTATCAGGGTTCAGACTATAAATTAAGTATGAAGTTAGAATTAAAGATACTTTCAGATGTACAATTTCTCAAAAGATTTACTTCCCACATACTCTTTATCAGGAAGGTACTAGAACTGCTGCTGTACAAAACATAAGAATACACCAAGAAGAAAAGAACATGACATCTGGGAAATAAGGTATCTAACCCCACAGCAACATAAGGAAAACCGTAGGACGGTGGTGAAGGGGGAAACTCCGATGACAGGAGGTCCATCTAGACTGTCCCAGACAATTTGTATTCAGATAGTAAATTTGATTAAGTATCACGTTATTAACGCAACTGGAGAAAAGCTGTGGACTCATTAGTGTTAAGAGTATAAAAACTAACTAAAGAGAAAAAAGATTCTTACTGATTTTAATTAAAAAGTACTATAGAGAAAAAATAAGTACATAATTGTAAAATATAAATACTGAATACTAACATATCAAAAATTACAACAGAATAGAATTACGTTGGATGAATGAGAGAATAAGAGACAGGGAACAATATATCCATGAGATAAATCCTTATCTTTCACAGCAAGGAATCAGCATAGATGATCTGAAGTGAATTAAAACACACACACATGGGAAAATGCTCTCTCCTGCAGCAGGTCAAATTAGTCTAATTCCTGGTCTCTCCACTAATTAGTGTGTATTTACCAAACTTGACATGCTTAGTTTGTCACTATATTTCTTGTTGGGAATGAACTGCCCACAGGGAGTAAGCCATCTTCTCTATTTGAAACCAGTCTCCTGGTGTGGCCCTACCAGTAACTAAGTCATTAGCCAAACTCCAGAGCCAAGTTAATAGACCCATTTAGCTCTATCAGTAAGCAACATTCGCCACTTTAGATTTTTGAGTAAAGAAGTTGATAGGTTTTCTCCTCTATCAATATTTGTCTTATCTTTCAATTTGATCAGATCTGAGCAGTGCAGAGCAGGCCCCTCAAGACCTCAACATTTGGTGCACCATCCAGGAGCACTGAGAAAGAAAAGAGTAGAATCTACGTAAAGTAAGGAGGTTTGGGTGGAGTCACTGTGCACAGACTAGCTGACAGAAACCTCACCTTAAAACATGGAAATCATCCTGCTGCAGCCTGGGAAACAGATTTATGCTGATTACACAGTGTTCTGACACTGACAAGTAGCTTTGGTGACTTTATAAGGAAACAAATTTTCTTACAGGCAAGGGCCACATGGGTAGCCATGAAAAGATAAGAGCCATGTCAACAACCTCCATGGACACTGTCAGCATGTGAGGCACTAGTCATTGAGGAAGGGGCAGCAGAGGACAAGCTGTGACAGCTTACTACTTCTCTGAGTACAACTCAAATCTCACTACAGAAACGATGTTACACTTTAGACAACACCAGCAGACATAGCAGGCAAGACGGCACCTGTGTCAGTGCCTCTCTGCATCACGACCACCACCTCTATCCATAGATGCTGTAGTTCCATACTATCCAGGCACTGTGAAGTCAATCATTACAACTGATATATTTCCCAAGTTCTCTGATAGTCTTCAAATCTCTCAGTATTGTAACCATCTGTCTACAACTCATAGAAAAACATTCAGAGGGGCATCACCAAGCCCCATAAGAGCATCCATACTAGGATGCCCTGAATTTAGCACAGTTAGTCCTCTATCTAAAAATCAGAAATAGCATTCTATGCTTTTAAATACAGAATTTTCTATCCAAGAAGAGAGTGCTAGAGACATTGGAACTCTGATCCTGCCAAAATGGAGAGATCCTGATAAGAGCCCTGGCACCCGTCTGACACACCAGAGGCAGTGCTGTGGCAGTAAGAACCATGACACAGGGTAAGACCTGCTCTAGGTCATCCCATCATTCGAGGGACTTGGGAAACATCTCAGATGTATCCTAATAAAGCACACATCTGAGAGTAAACGAGATAAAGATGATCATCCAGTAATAGCAATGTCTATTTAAGAAAAATCAAGTTTCTGGTTTTAGTGTGGCATGTAAAAAGTTTAGAAGTCACCATTCTATCCTTAAAACTAAAAAGCTAAAGAAGCTGAAGATTCAACAACTCTTCTTAGTATCATCAACATGAGGACACAGAGCAAACCACTTCTCCTAACACTGGAAAGACGGGCAGATTCAGAAAACCACAACTTACCAAAAGAGAAACCTACTAGCAGAAACCTACACAGGCCAGAGCAGGAAAACCAGAACAAATCTGCCGGTATCTGCTACACTGATGGAGACTCAGTGTGAATAAATCTGAGAGTTAAAACACCAGGGGGACTTAGTTAAAAGGGGAGCCCCAGCTTTTGTGAGTTTTACCTAGAGGAGCCTTACCAAGTGCTCACAAGAATACTGGACAAAAAAAAATCACCTCACGTTTCTAGCAATGAAAGAAGAGCAACCCTTTGAAATACATCATAACATGTTATTCCTAACAAGACCTCACCTCAGGAGAAACTATTTCACCAGAACCTAACCTTCCTGAGGAAGGAAACACCCCATCCACCCCAGCCAGCTTCAGTCTTCTACATAAGGAAAGCAATATACCCAAAGCCGGTCCCCACTGGCCATCCTATCCCACCTAAGGGGAAAAGATTACTAAGTACTGGTGAAGACAATAGTTCAGAGGTACAGACGCATCAGAAGACTGAAACCTAATCACAGAACACTCTCCCTACATCTTATCAACAGGTTTCTAAAGGCCCATTTATAGAAGTTTCGTTTCCCAGTACAGGTTAAGTATCCTTTATCTAAATGCTTGTAAACAGAAGTGCTTTGACTTTCAGATTTTTTTGGATTTTGGAATATTTGCATTGTATTTACCAGTCAAACATC